TAGACCTTTAATAGAACTTTAATAATAAATCATTTATAATAACCACAGACGCCTCAAATTTTGCATTAGAATGCATACTCTCTCAAGGTGAAATAGAAGAAGACAAACCAATAGAGTTTACTTCAAAAATGCCAAAGCAAGAAAATGATACCATACCTATGAGAGAGAAGCATTAAGAATCGTATTTGCAGTTAAAACTTTTAGAAATTATATTTACGGAAATAAATTTACATATGATAGCGACCATGAACCATTACTGTTGTTCAGATCAGCTGATAACAACACAAGAGTACAAAAGTGGAGACTAAAATTGTGAGATATGATTATGACATGATATACGAGTACAAATCAGAAAATGTTAACACTAATGCAGACGCACTATTAAGAAATACAATAGCTAAAGGCGAAATAAATGTTTTAACTAGGGCTCAGAAAGAAAAAAGAATCAAAAAACAAATAAATACAGAAAAATCAAATGTTAACACGAAAGTTAAAAAAATTGTACAACGAACAATTAAAAAAGCAACATCCATCAAAGCAAATAAAACAGAAGAAAACAATAACGGCAAACGTACTACAGGAAAACACAACAAAATTATTTTTACAAAAATGCCTATAGAATCCAGAAAAGACTACATCATCATTTTATAATAATTTATAATAAAACAATAATAGGTAATAATAGTTTAAGATCAAACGAAATAGAAGTCACGCAACTGGACTCAAAAAAATTATTATTCACACTATGCATTAACACAAAACAATCAATATTTTCAGTAATAGACGATATTAAACAAAGAATCATAACTCTTAAAGAACTTATGATCAAGAAAAAAATCAAGATACAATATTTAAAAAAATATACTAATACGTAATCTTGAAGGGAACACATTAGAAAAAAAATCTTAAAGATATCTTCAAAAGTACAGACATTAATATTATTATATTTCTAAACTATATAGAATATGTAGAAAAAACCAATTGAGATGACACATACAAATTACATTATACATTTATGCTGGGCGGACATTCAGGAATAAATAAAACAATGAACCGGATTAAGTGTTGCAACGATTACCGAAAATCGTTAGACTCGCGCGAGGTTAATGAGCGGCTAAACGAGAGGAGCCGCGTTCGGTTCGCGAGAGAGAGAGAGAGCGCGTAGGGGCAATGACCGGGAGGGGAGGGTCCGACCGGCAGTATGACTGTGTCACTCAGTCGGTCTGCATTGTCGCTAACCTTTTTCTCCGTGCCTTTAACGCGTTTTCGTTTGGTGGTGCTCAAGCGAACGGCGTGACTTGTGTGCGTGGGTGTGCTAGCAGCAGCAACAGCAGCAGCAGTAGCTATAGCAGCAGCAGCAACAACAGCAACAACAGCAGTAGCAGCGACAGCAGCAACAACAACAACAGCAATAGTAATCGCGGCGGTGCGGCGAGCAGAGAAGCAGCGCTTCAACAGTTGGTTGTTCGGATACGGTTGGCCACCGTATCCTCATCGTTCTCGCGGTAGGTGCACCTTCCCCCTTTTTATTATTGTTATAGCGAGCGATCCCGCGCAGCGTGCGCGAGGTAATTAGTTGTTGCGTGCGGGCGGTTAGTTCGCGGTAATCGCGGTTTTCTCTCTCTCTCTCATTTAGCGTGTGTTGTCATTCGCGCAAGCGTGCGCAAGTCTCTCGGCAAAACCCCCATGTAATTGAAACGGTTAAATAAAGTGAATATTAATCTTTATTAAGTCAAGCAGTCGTTATTGTGTCATTCCTTTGTCCGGAGGTCGCGTCGAGATTTGTTTACAGTTGATTCGAATTCGCCGGTAGCGTAGCACGAATCACGCGAATATCGGTAGACGGGTATCGTCAACTTAGGTTCCAGCGGCGGCCGCACGAGCGCTACTAAGCAAGGGCGACAGCGCCGTCAAGCGGTGAGTTGGGGGAACCCAACTCGGAATAGTGAAGAGACTCTGCGCAGGCGCACTTCGAGACAAGGTAGGTTGATGTGCTTCGAGCACATAGATAACTAGGCGTCGTCTAGTCTTAATAAAGGTACATTCAAGAGATTATAGACTAAACGGCAGCCTGTTACAGTGTAAATAATTCTGGGAAAATATGAAAACAGATATAGAAAGTCGTATCAAAAGTTGTAAATGCTATCAAAGAAAAAAACTAAAAAGAATAAGAACCAGACAACTTATGATTATCACAGATATATCATTCAAAACATTTGATAAAATAGCAATGGACATAGTAGGATCGTTAAATATAACAAAACAAAAAAACAAATACATTTTAATAATACAAGATCAACTTTCAAAATTTCTTGTCATGAGCCCGTTTTCCGATCAAACAGTTGAGTCAGTAACTGACGCATTCATCAAAAAATTTATATGCTCAGTTAGCTCTCTAAAAATTTTTTTAATAGACCGCGGTGCAAACTTCACAAGTAAATTATTGAAAGTAATTGCAAAAAGCTTCAAATTCTCAAAAATTGAAACAACAGTATTCTCACCCCAATCGAATGGCTCACTAGAAAAAGCCTATCATTCACTGTGCGAATACCTAAAATATTTTGCTTCAAAGAAAATAGATTAGGATAACCTACTGGAATTAGCACAATTTCATTACAATACAAGTACACACAGCGCACACCAATTCACTCCACACGAACTAGTCTTCGCCTAGCCACTCCGACTACCATTAAATAAACCATTTAAAGCATATGAACAACTCCTAATATTTAATAATTACGTATCACAATTAATCAAAAATATGAAAAATGTTGCTAAGGCTGAACGAGGATATCTGATTCGTAGAATATCCTGGACTTCACGTATAATGAGTCATCTAGAATTTCGAGTTCTACCCAAATTCAGGGTTAAAAACAGTGGTTTCTTTTTATCAAAGTAAAATTGATCTTGGAATAATCTGAAAAATCAAATTCAAGGTCAAGTTTGAGGTTATTATGATTTAACCCCCTCTGAACCATACAACTTTTATTTGAAACATTTTTGGAACACTTTTCAAAGTTTGAAGTTATTTTTCTATCCAATTTAAAGTAGAACATCCTGTATATTAAACATTTTTCTTGACTTTTTGTAATGTAACAAATGAAAGTTATATGTAAATACAATATATTTACTCTTAAATATTTTATTGCTCCTTGACAATCGCAAAAACATGTAATTTAAGATTCCACTTGTTTGCAATTTAATGGTTCTAAGCTAAACTAACTATATTATTTTTTTTACTATTGTTATTATCTACAAAGCTATTCGCTTATTATTCTGTTACTCACTCAATTATTGGTGGAATTATTAAATGAATAAAAAGAACCAAAGAGTCTATCAATCTAGACATCTGTATCCGCTGTTAATATGCGTATGCGTTCCTTCTGCTTCATTAATCTTTCAGTTGTTCATTCACACTTTCTACATGGATTTGCATTTTAGGTTCGAAATTTTCTTAGCATACCATTCTTAACAATAGTCTATTCAGGAAAATTTCAAACTAAAGTTTTTGAATGATTGATTTATTGAGAATTTAGTTATTAATAATGAAACTTATTTAATGTAATACTTCTATAAAATTAATAATAAACTCAAGTAAAAGTTCGAATTCTGCAGATTTAACTTTATGTACCAAATAAGATATAATCTCAATATGAACCTATTCAGGCCTATGCAAAATCTGGATAAGATAACAATAAAGTAACTAGGCCATCCTTTGCATAATCGAAAAATAAAATATACGTATTTTTTCTTTTGCCATTGCATTTTTGTAATTGTTTATAAAAAATTATTTAAACGAATTACTGGAAAATTCCTATTTTTAGAAAACTGAATGCAGCAATAACGGGAAAAATCATGACAAAAACCTATGTAACATTATTTTGTCTGAGTCTAATTTGTTAGTGTAAAATGATGATAAACTTCCCACGTTTCAAAGTATTTATTGTTCTGTATGAAATGTATACTTGTGTGTGGGTTTCTTGGTTTTATAATAAAGTTGGATAAATATTTTTTATTTTCCGAATACTTTCGCATTAGAGATCACGTTTGAGTGGCGGGTTAGTAGTTGGATGCAAAAATTACAGAAACAATTTTTGAACCGAAAATTTTGGATAAGCTGTTCTGTTTAGAATTTTATGATACGTAGTATATATTTTTTGTAAATTTTTTACAAAAAAATTTAATTAGTAGCAAACGTAAGTCTTACTATTATTGTAACGCAACTAACAATGGCGAGACAAAGACTTACTGATCTCTCTGATTAAGTTGACGATTCTGACATTGATAGAAATAAAGATATCGATATAGCATTTATTCCTGATGAATATGAAAGTTTAGATGGAGAATCGGATGGTGACCTAGATGAAAATACATTGTCTCATCACCTTCCTACAACCAGTTATCAACATGTGGAAAGTACCTACACAAGTACTCAAAAAATGGTTGGAGCCCAATCATTTTTACAATTGGATAAATAATGTTTTGAATAATATTTTTCCTAATGACGAGTATAATTTCGATATTTGACCTATTTTACCATTATTTCCTAAAAATTCTTTTGAATTATTCTAAATAAATTTGCAATGTCTTATGTAAATCATTTATGTATGAATGCAACATCAGTTTCATATTATTTGCCTCGCATCTCTTTCATTCCCGTGATAAGATTGTTTATTCTCATTATGAACTGACAAAATTGGACTCAAACAAAAAATGTTACATAAATTTTTGTTATGATTTTTCGCGTAGAATTGATTGCTGCATTCAGTTTTTCAAAATTAGAAATTTTTTAGTAATTTGTTTAAGTAATTTTATATAAACAATTGCAAATGCAAAAGCAAAAACACATATATTTTATTTTTTGATTATGCAAAGGATTGCTTAGTTACTTTGTTGCTGTCTTATCCAGATTTTGCATCCGCCTTAATTAACAGTTTTATTTTAATATTTAATAACTAAAATCTATTTAAGACTTAGAAATTGACAGAACTTCTTTTCAGGTAAAGAACCAGAATTAAAACATAATATTGGAGAACAGTTTACTGAAATTTTGATTAAAAAAGAGGGTTATGTTGCACTAATCCTAAAGTTTCTTGAAGAATTTGATTTTAGAGTCAGATGGCCGGCTTTAAGATTATTGAGAAATTTATTAACTAACAAACTTAAAAAAATGCAAGAAATTATTTTAATCAGTCCAATGGGAGTTTCTAAATTGATGGATATGCTTAGCGATAGTAGGGAAGTTATTCGAAATGATGTAAGTAACGATTTTTATAATTTTTCTTCCTTTTTAAAATTATAACAATATATTTTCGATATATAGGCTCTCTTGGTTCTTATTCAGCTAACAAAAGGAAATACTAATATCCAGAAAATTGTTGCATTTGAAAATGCATTTGATAGAATTTACGAGGTTGTTTTAGAAGAAGGAGGTATGGAAGGTGGAATAGTAGTTGAGGATTGCTTATTACTGATGATTAATCTTCTGAAAAATAATTACAGTAATCAGAATTTTTTCAAAGAAGGTAATTATTTCATTAAAACTATAATTTTCTATGAATGTCCTTAATAAACAACATAAAATTATTATGATAGTAAATAGTGATGAATTGATTATAATTTTTCTATTCCAATAGGAAATTATATACAAAAACTAACATCAATGTTTAAATTTTCATTTAATAATAATGATGATAGTTTTTTTGAATGGAGTCCACAGAAGTTATCTAACGTTCATTGCATAATTCAAGTAGTTCGAGTACTTGTGGCGCCAAATGGACCGGTTTTGGTAAGTTTTATTTAAATGTTATTAATATAACTTAAGACTAAAAGATAAATAACTGATAAATTGTTAGTTAGTAAATACTTGTCAAAATATAATGAAAAAATGTGGATTATTGCAAGCATTGTGCAACATTTTGATGATAAGTGGAGTACCTGCTGATTTATTAACTGAAACTATCAATGCGGTTGCAGAAGTCATTCGAAGTAACGCATCTAATCAAGATTTATTGGATCACGTCATGGCTCCTAGTAATCCGCCCAGGTAAATTTCAAAAAACCTTCATATAAAAAAATTCATTATTTTAAAATATATAATTGTTACAAATAGATCCTCTTAGTGGAGTGATTACTCAACTTAGAGTTTCAATATGTCCACAATCATTATTGTAAAAAATAGCACTCTTAATGTTACTGCTTCTAGGTATTAATTAAAATAATTAAATAAGAAGAATTTCAATCTGAATTTATTGAACGTTCTATTCAGTTGAAGTTATTTTGAATTTAATTATTTAATTATATCACAGTCGTCGATGGTATTAAGCTCTATCGAGTATATTAATTATTTCTAAATGGAAAAATAGAAAAATATTAGATTGATGTTTACTATCCACATAGCCAACTTTTAGGCACTATAATTTCTAAGACGCATTATATTTGCTAAACAAAAGGTATTGCTTATATTCATTTCAAGAAATCCATTATAGGTGTGCTTTAGACTTATGATTGATTATTAATTTTATAAGTTTCTTCATTAAGTATAAAAAGTCACATAAATTACACGGGTCAATATGAAATTTTTCAAAAAATACCAGTAATATATCCTGAAGAATTTCGATGCGCTGAACACGAATCTGTCCCTAAAATTGTTCTATTGCTTCACACTTTTAAGATATTCTAACCTAAAAGTGCAAAAAACACGTTATTTTGGCTATACATGGCGAGCCTAAACTAACTTATACAAATTCAAAATAACCAAGATTTTCTTATTGGAATGTTTTCTAGCATGAAAAACTAGTATTTTAAGATCGTGATTAAAATCATCCATACATTCCTTTTTGAACACATTTAGCTGGTACAAAATGGGTTTATTAAAGAACAAACTCCTACGATGCAGAGCTAACCGCCGCTCCATTAATTACGTATGAGTATACATGTACAAGGGTCATTTGAAAAGTCCGTGCAAAAATAAAAACTGCTTGATTTTTTTAATAAATCTTTTTTATTTTTCAACATAGTCTCCATTTAGGCTTATACACTTCATCCAACGCTGCTCTAGTTTGTTAATCCCTTCCAAATAATAGGATTTGTCCAATTCTGTAAAATAGGCATTCGTTTCTGCAATCACCTCTTCGTTTGAATAAAATCTTTTCCCCGCCAGCCATTTTTTCATATTAGGGAACAAATAGTAGTCCGACGGCGCCAAGTCTGGAGAATAGGGGGGATGTGAAACGAGTTCGAACCCTATCTCCATCAGTTTTGCGGCCACAACTGTTGAGGCGTGAGCTGGCGCATTGTCGTGGTGGAAGAGGAATTTTTTGTGGACCAATCGTGGACGTTTCTCTAGCAACTCGGTTTTCAAACGATCCAATAACGATGAATAATATTCGCCTGTAATGGTTTAACCCTTTTCCAGATAGCCGATGAAGATTATTCCTTCCGAATCCCAAAAGACAGTCGCCATAACCTTCCCGGCCGAAGGAATTGTCTTCGATTTTTTCGGAGCAGATTCCCCCTTGGTAACCCATTGTTTAGACTGTTCTTTGGTCTTAGGAGTGTAGTGATGTATCCATGTTTCATCTACAGTAATGAAACGACTCTTAAAGTCTTGCGGATTTTGCTGGAACAGCTGCAAACCATTCTTGCAATACTTCACACGATCTCGTTTTTGGTCAATCGTGAGCAATCATGACACCCATCTAGCGGATAGCTTTTTCATGTCCAAATGTTGGTACAAAATATTATGTACCCGATCGCTCGAGATGCCTATAGTACTAGCAATCTCACGCATCTTCACTCTTCTGTCAGCCATCACCATATCATGGATTTTATTAATGATTTCTGATGTGGTAACCTCAACAGGGCGTCCAGAACGTTCAGCGTCTTTTGTGCTCATATGGCCACTCCGAAAATTTTGAAACCACTTATAAACCATTTTAATCGAAAGTGCACAATCACCATAATGTCTATTAAGCTTCTGTTTAATCTCCTGAGGCGTTTTGCCTTTGCAAAAGTAATGTTTAATCAATACACGAAATTCTTTTTTGTCCATTTTTTTACAACCACTCGATTTCTTTGATTGAAACGAATGTAAAACGCAAAGTAATTGGCCGATCTGGCTGAAACTTGGCGTGTGCTCTTCCAAGATATGCCACTAACTGAAAATAACCTTGATACGCACTAGTAGTGACATCTGACTTTGCACGGACTTTTCAAACGACCCTCGTATTTTCCTTTACGTTTGATACTTTCGTTCCAATGTCTCCTTTTCCAACAGAGTTAAACTCACCTGAAGTCACTTGACTTGTAACACTTAATCTATCTTAGGTGTGAATAACTTAAAGTTTACTCCAACTATCCCCTAGATGAATTCAGTTTAAAAAATAACCGGCGACGTGTCCATTAAACTAAAAGGGAACGAAATAACGTAATGTGATGAATAAAATTAAGATCGTTTATGATTAAAAACTACAGTCTTTTACGGGCCGAAAGACTAACGCACGCGAATAGGATTTTACAATTATTAACAATAATACGAGAGAGAGAGAGAGAGAGAGAGAGAGAGAGAGAGAGAGAGAGAGAGAGAGAGAGAGAGAGAGAGACAGAGACAGAGAGAGAGAATTCAAAATTTTACCGTGAAAACTAACACTCGGCGTGAATACAAAAACGGTCGTGATTGACAAAATACTTTCGCAAGTATTTTGTCGTGCAGAAAAAGGAAGGTGCACCTACCCTGCGGTGCAATTACGGTGATCATCCGTAATTGTTGAAGAAAAACGAATTCTTTCCCTGGAAAGATTGTGTTGGTTCTTCTCGCTACAAATTGGCTGTTGCTGCGCTTAATGCTGCTGTTCACTTGATGCTGCTGTCATTACTGCTGCCCTTATTGTCTACTTGCGATCACTTGAAAATTTTTCATTCCTCGGAATTTATTATTTTGCAATGCATAACTATAAGATATTTACATCTACACTTTTTTGCATTGAAATTAAAATTAAATAAATTTAATAAGATCTTTAGTTCTTCAAGATAAAACCAATAATTTTCAATTTATTCATTTTTCAAATCGAATACGGTTAAACAGCTACATATGACTAATCGCATGAATTGAGAGGGAGGGAAAAAGAGGAGCGAGATAATACGAGAGGTTGGGTAGGGAAAGGGATAAGTAATGGAGGGAATGGAAAGATGAGGGTGGGAAAAGGAAAGGGGAAGGGACAGGTCGATATTTTCTTATTTAAGTTACTTTCGAGGTCAACAGTATCACACTTAAGTTAACATATTTCAAATAGATACTTTCACAGCGACTGCTTCGTTAGAGAACTTAAAAAAACTACTATCCAACTTTTTAAAATTTTGCTCTTGAATTAACCCTCCGAAAGTCACAAAAATAAACCTTTGAATATTATACCAAATCCGGTGTGAGGAATAGGAGTTTCCATTAAAAAAGGAAGGCTAACCTTGAAATGAATTTGGGAGTGAGGTAGGGGTCATGCGGACTCCATTAATATACCATCATCTGAACGTATAATTTCACGTAGACTTCAAACCTACGACGAAAAATGAGGGATCCCTTTTAAAAAGTAAGGTTGACCTCGAAACGACTCGGGATGGACGGACTTAAATGGTTTCAAAGAGGCGGACATGGCGTTAGAGGATCGTATTGCAGGTTGGAAAAGGTGGCAACGGACATCAGCCACAGACGCGACGTTGGTACTGGAATCTGCATATACTGGAATACATACCAGTATATACCACGGTATATGCATATACCGTGTCTTAGCGGAAAAAGTTTTACTGTTTGATCCACCTAAAAAGAAAGCGCAACAGCCGAAGAAAAAACAAGGTAAAAAAGGCGAAAACCAAAGTGGTGAAGTTGCCGTGGCTGCGGCTGGTAAACAGCAGCCGCGAGCGGGAAAACAACCTGGGAAAGAAACCGCGCCTGCTCCGCAGAACACGCAGATTTTATCAGCCCCGGCTACAGGTGTTGGTCTCTAGCCTGATTCCGGAGCAGCACGATCAAAGAGATGGTGCGTTGAGAAGTAATTTATATAGGCCGTTTACGGGGTCTGTTTTAATTGTAACGCATTAGGAAATAGGAGGGCTCAATGTCCAGTAGTTCAGGTATATTCACGGTAGTTTGCTACAAATACCTGAAAACAGGGCTTTATGCTAATCATTGCTCAGTGCAAATTACCGAATCTACACCGATGTGTCAAGTTTGCGGGACCGTTAGATTCAGTTTTAGGGATTGCCCTACGTGTAATCAAGTAAGGCAGGGAAACATTGTTGCGGGAGTAGTCGACCGATCGATGATTACTGTCTAAAATGGATCGCGCAGGTCATTCAGATAGAGAAGGTGCTTTGCGCAAGAAGCACAGTAGATAAGAAAATCGAGGTTTACGTAAGAAAAAAATGTGAGAATAAGCCAGATATTGACGGTCCTACATCTTCTTTCTTAAATAGGGTGATTAATAAGTATGTGACTGAAGGTGCTAAAATCAAGCGTGTATATTTCGTAGAATTTAAGGATTCGGAGGAAGATAGTACGAAAGTCGTAGAATCAAAGATCGTGTTTGAGGGAGAGCTTCTTAGTTCGACTTTAGATAGAAACCAAGCGCAAAGTAGCGTAGCCGTAAATTTCCTCAGTAGAAACAGTAATGGTTCCAAACTGGTAAATATACGTGATTTGGTACAGAAAGGCCTAGAGGATTTTTGTAGCTGTCGAAATAAGCAGAAAATTTTATGATAGAGATGCGCAGGATGCGATCTATTTCGATGGGATTTTTGTGTCGGGAAGCTCGCCCGAGAAATGCCTAACGGAGCAAAGTGAGTTGCCGTCGTAGCGCATGAACGCGAATGAGGCAGGTTTCAGTATTTCGCCCACGGTAGGGCAGGCTTCAGAAAAGGCCGTCGCTTTTAAAAATAAGGATGAACCTGCGGTAGATTTTTCATATGAGAAAACGAGCTCAAGCGCTGTGCTCCCGTCGGAGCGAGCTTCGACAAAGGTCGCGGCTATGTGCGGTTTAACTGAGTTTGTTGATG